CGGGGGAGGGATTTTTTTCCCACACCCACCACGTTTCTCGTTGTGGGCCCTGCTTTTTATTCGTTAAGGGGGGGGGGATACAGTCACGTTGTTCTGTGGTAGGGACGTGCCAGTGAAGATTTTTTTTTTTTTTCTTTGGGCGAGACACAGGGGGGGGGGGGGGGGAGGCATCGGCAAAAAAACAGTGATGTCGGTTACGGCTCTACCACAATTAGCCGTGACGAAAGCCAGCCGCCAGAAATATATTTCGTTTTCACGTAGCAACGTGACCAACGTAACTCAAGGGGGATTCCGCGGAATATTTGACCCCCTGGATTCACAGAACATCGGCACAAAGCAGCAGTGGTGCCTAACGCTTGAAGCTTGAAATGGTTTGTACTGTTTTACGTGCGACGATAAAATTGGCCGACTTCGGCTGGTCCTCCTGCACAGAATAAGAAATTGAGGCTCGACCCGGTTTTGACGTTTCTTATCTCCGGGCCCTATCTGTACAACACTTAATTCACAGGTCGACGGGTCGTTGTCCTTCATTCGCGCTTTTCCGGCGACTGTCTTGAGGAAACAGCGGAAAACGGAGGGTCCTTGATTCTACGGTTCCTCCCGTTTTGGGGGGGCGCGGGTGTAGCCGTAACTGGCGTATGTAGTTCCAATTGCCTATGAATAAGATAGGCGATACGCGTAGTAAGTAATCTGTTCCATTACCGCAACCGACATCATGTCGCTGTACAAACGCAACGACGACCGGTTACTAAGCTAACGTCAATGCTACTACTACAGTACTAATCTAATCTACTCTGACTCTCTCTGTGTATCCACAAGCAGAGAGGGTTAAAAAAAATCCGTGTTGTACATGATCGAAGGGTGATTACCGTAAGAGACGGCGAGACGACACCCCCCCAAACCAACTTTTTTAACAGCTCGATTGACCCACAAAACCAAGGTGGTGCGGAAAGAGCCCGATAATTCTATGGGAAGCCCTGGACGACGAGATGGTTCCAAAACCGCCATTCATTATCATTGCTGGTGTACACTACTGTGTGTATACTGCTGTAGTGGCACTATTTATCTTGGTTCGTTGTGGAGAAATCGATTTGAAATTTCTTCTAGAGGGGGTACCGTCTCTCTGCCTCTTGCGGTACTGCACCGCCGTCACATCGCGCCAGACAGCCGTATGCATGGTAAGATCCTCGCCTGGAAAGCAATAGATAGATGTACATACATGCGTCAGGGTGGATAAGATATCAAGTAGGTGGGTGGGGACGGAGCCGTGCCGCTGGCCACAATAATCACTTGATTGAGCAGTCATCGATATGGCACTGCTGCGGTAGCAAATAGTAAAGGATTGTCAAAATCAATGTGGCCATCGAAGTTGATCGAAATATGCCCGAACTTGGGCTTGGCAATTGGGCGTGTGTCCGCTGTACTGCCGTAACCGATTCCGCGAGTCTTCAACCGGGCGGGAGTTGCCTGGCGAGCGAGCAGGAGGGCTCTGCAGGAAGGAGCGTGAAATGCACCAGAAACAATGAGTAGATCAGAGTAGAACAATACACCTGTGATGGTGCACTGCTTGTAGTGAGGGCTGTGTGGTCGAACCCGGCCACTGCCGTATTACAGTTGGAGGAGACAGATAAATTCACGGACAGAGATGCGTTTTTTTTCCGCAACAAAGAATTTTCTAAAAAAAAGGAACCAATCGGGAGACCGGCAAAAGTCGGCACGTTGGTTCATGGTTCATCGGTGCAATACGGCACAAAGAGGTGCGGTCAATGGTCAATGATCCTTCCGCATTTTCCAGCGCCCCACCCTCCTCTGCGCCATCCACACTCCACTCCACCCTCCGCCCTTTAATACTACAGGCACCAGCGTCTCAGACTCTTCTTCTTTCCTCCCCGGCAAACACGCGACTACAGTCTACACCTACACAGCAGCAGCACTTCGGTATGGCTGAGGCATCTTCAACTGCTGCGGGCTTGGAAACAATTACATTGGGAGCAGGTATAGGTGTTGTAGAAGAACACCACGAGTTTGTTAGACACGACAGTATTGGTGTGCAATGGACCCACACCAGCAACACTACGGCTGACAGCGATACAGCGGTTTTGGGGTGAAAGAAGATGGGAGTAGCCCCCTTGTCTGCGTTCGGAGCTCTCGGCTCGTTGCCACAGCAGCTGTAAGCGCATGTTCGAGTGTACGAGCTCTGATACGTGTGGAGACAGACCACCTTGATGAAGGTACAGTCTACCGAACATCCGTAGAGGACGATTCCCTCCTTTCACATACGCAGCCTTTGTTGCAGCGGCATTAACAGCATACATAGCGGAGTGTGTCAACCACCTTGCTTGGCACCATCAAAAACGATATCATCGTCCGACGTTTTTTAGCATTGATTGGGCCGCAGGGGCAAAACACCATACATACGCAAGCGGCGAAAGCCGCCAAAAAGCCTTTTTTAGACACAAATGCCTTTTCCCCCATCTCCTTCGGAATTTACGCCCGCGGTGAATTTGAAAGTTGTGCCCCTCCGCAGAGCGCGTGGTTATCATGCGGGTACTGACTGCGGCAGGGTGTAATTGTCGACGCGGGCAGGGACATTGACTACCGATTACACATTGCTTAGGCCGCGTTGGTGTATCGAGTACATCCTTCTTTCGTGCCGAACACCCCCCCCCCGCCATCTCTCCATGCCGTGCGCACATGATTTCCACGTAGGTTGCTTCTGGTGTGTTGAAGCCGTGTATCAGCGCGTTGTCGGCGTCGAGAGCGTGGAGAGCGGCTACATGGGAGGAATCGTGAACAACCCTTCCTACGGCCAGGTAAATAAAAAAAACACATGCAGTGCACGCCGTGTCGTCGTTGCCATACGACGCACGTGCCTTCAGGTCTGCACCAACGAGAAGGCATCACACACAGGGTTTAGACTAAGCAGTGTACCGGCAAGACTCGTTTTCTCCCCCTGTGGCTCTTTGGTGCCTTGGCGATCGGCCTGGAGCGAACGGTAGATACCACCCCCAACACCACCGCTAGACTAATAGACTAAGAACCAGAATATGTATCATATCCCCTGCCTTTTGTATGTGGCAGTCCTGCAGTCCTGCAGTTGATGCCATGCACATGACCTACTGACGACTAAGTAAGTTGTACCATGCATTCCGCACACGGCAGATCTGCACCGGAGAGACGGGGCACGCAGAGGTGATCCAGCTCAAGTACAAGCCTTCCAAGGTCTCGCCCACCGACTTGCTGGAGATCTTCTTCAAGATGCACGACCCTACCACCAAGAACCGGCAAGGTGCCGATGTCGGCACACAGTATAGGTGAGTGTACAAACGTAGGGGCGATCCAACTTGCAATTAGACTATTTCTTTTCGGAGAAACAAAGTTCTGCTGGTTATAACCCTTTGTGGTACAATTTTCACTACTCATGGGCGAAGTATGGGCCGGTCCATGGACCGTGCCGTGGAATACCATGGCAAAGCAAGAGGTGAAAACTATCGTTCCTTCTGGTCCTACCTTTCGTTGCACTTACGGGTCAAGTTCTAACTCGAACGTGGGTCTTCCTTCCATACCGCGGCTCGTACAAACCCGTCACCAGGAGTGCCATCTTCTACCACTCGGAAGAGCAGAAGCAGGCGGCGGAGGAGGTGATAGCGGCGGTGCAGCCCAAGTTCGGGAGCAAGATCGTCACCGAGGTGACGGCGGCAAGCGACTTTTTCGTGGCCGACAAGGGGCACCAGGACTACTACTCGAGAAATAAGAGCAGCAACGGCTACTGCCGGCTGGTGATCCACCCCAAGCTCTCCAAGGTAAGCTCCAGAGACCTCCAGCGGAGACTTGGTGGCGGTGGTGATGGAGGTAGTGCTATTGTTGTTGCTGTTGCTGCTCCAAATTAAGCCGGTCTGAACTCTTCCCTGTGCCTCCATTCATACACTCCAAAAGTTGGTGAAGGGGGGTGGAGTACTGTAGCGTGACCTTGCCGCAGCATGTCGACTCGAGAATTCCAACGCGCCCCTCCAGAGCAAATATGTAGCTCCCGGACACTTGCTGTTGTCTTGGGGGCTCGGCTTCTGAATTATTGCGCACCTTCAGAGAGACCGATCGGCTGGTCAATGCCGACACAATTATCTCTCGTCAACTTCCTCCGAACACTATTTGTTGTGTTTAGTTCTGAAAGCTGCTGCCATACCCGCACCCTTCCGTCGGACATGGAAAGCGGAACTCCAAGCACGTCAACCCTACGTAAGGGTTTCGGAACGTTGCGGTGGCACCTTTGCGCCTGAAGTCCAATATGTTCCCCTTGCCCTCGGTTTTAGTTCTGAAAGCTGCTGCCATACCCGCACCCTTCCGTCGGACATGGAAAGCGGAACTCCAAGCACGTCAAACCTACGTAAGGGTTTCGGAACGTTGCGGTGGCACCTTTGCGCCTGAAGTCCAATGTGTTCCCCTTGCTCTCGGTTTGCGACGTGAAGGTTGGTGTCATTTGTGCTAGCGGACATCAATAGCGGCAATCTTACCCAGACGATGAAACCAAAACGGACAACCGAAGATGCGGGCGATCCCCACCAACAAGAATAACAACAACGACAGCAGCCCCAAGCACAGCAGCAGAAGCAACAACCACAACAACAGCTTTGGCCTTGAGGATCACCCAATTTGTTTGTCCCCATCACTGACTCTGACCCCTTTTGGCGACCGCCCGATGTCGCCACTGCTGCGCTCTGAATACAGGTGAAGCATGACAAGTACAAGAGCCCAGGCGTCATGTCCAAGGTGTTGGGGGCGCTCAGCTCTTAACCGCAGGAGTCCCTGCTTCGGGGCGTGCCATTTGTGGAGATCCTGTCGAGGGTGTCAACGTCTCTATGACCATGTATTTTCAGAAGTGTTCCTCTCTTCCTCTCCCTGGGTGGATTGGTCTTGTGATTGTCCCCTCCAGCGGGTGGAGTCTTGCCCTCCTCCATCTCCTGCCTTGTCGTGCATTGTACGATGTGCTTGCTCTATCCCTTTCCAGGAGTTAAGTTGTCGGGTGGGTGTCCCTCCTAGGGATGGAGGTGTACAAGTGTATGAATGTCCCTGGTTAGGCTAATGTGGATTGTGAGGTGAACTTCTGTATAGGTTGTCCACATGTAAGTAAACGTGTGGTGTTGACGACCGTATGCTGTAGAATACACTCTGTCTCACACGACGAGTACTTTGTACCCCATTTTGTGTTAAAGGCGATGGCAAGGTGACGCTCTCGGGGTTAATCTGTCCCCCACGGCAAGGCTTAAAAGACACCCATAGAGGAGTGCCCTCACGCGTTGACCTCGTCTTGTACTGTAGAGTATTGGTCCGCGTATTGCAGTACCTCGATATCGTAGCTCGTAGTAGGCGAGGCAAGAGCTTAGGGTAGATACATAGACAGTGCGAGCGACGGAACTAGATGTGCAGAGGATATTGTAGATGTTCCTATAAATACAAATCTCGTGCTCTGAGTGATATGGAACTGGGCTACTGTGCTACCAACAACGGCCGTCATCGAGACGCTAGACCGCCACGATCTGAAGTAGTGCTGCACAACCGAAAACGCACCTAGTCATGGCGACAGCAAGCAGCAGCAGCAGCAGCAGCCGTTCGCATGAAGAGCGGTCGCGGAGTAGTTTTGACAAAACCAAACGATGACGCTGAAAAGGTCTGGCCATCGAAACATCCTGCACTACTAGGTACACTCCCCGTGAATACCAAGCCGCGATATTCGACGTTTTCCCTCCCTCAAGAGAGACAAACGGCGACATGACGGGTGACGGAGCACAAGAACCGCAGAGCGCATCTATCTGGCGCTTTTCCAGGTGCCGCACAACACACGCTGTACAACAAGAACCATGGCATCGGACATCGATTGTAGGCCCAGGAAGGAAGCTTGTACCCCCGAAGCGCCTCCTCACACACAAACGATTGCTGCAACCAATACCTATCGCTGTCGACCTCAAGGGTACAGCTCTAGGTCACTGCCGGTGAGCTTAAAGTCCTCGTATATGACAACTGCCGTGATCTCTAGAACCAAACGAAAGATGCAACATATGCGGCGTTTGCCGTCATCTTGGCGGTGGAACGATCCCCCCGACGCATTGCTTTGCCTTGACACACACATCCTGCACGTCAGCCAGCGCTCCAACACCTTCTCCGAGCAGCACAAGAGCGAGCCGAGAGAGACAAGGGGGACGGAGGGTGGCTAAATTCAGTTGTTGATGTCCTCCGGTAGTTTGACCAATGACAACGCGTCCCTGTCAAGACGGAGAGTCGTTCCTGAGAACCGCTCCTACGTTTAGCAGGAGGGGGGGTCTATCGTATTAGACGTGCCCGACCTCAGTCCCCAGCAGGGACACTCGATTTTGCCAAGAAACGGCTACCATCATACGACTACAGTCAAGCGAATGGCGCCGTCGGCATGTATCAGAGCTCGGAAGCGACAAAATTCGCCTCCGATTCGTGGCCTACAGTAGTACACCTCAAGGTTATGCACTATGCAGTGAATAACAAACGCAACAACAGCACAGCAACGAGTGTACATTCCATGAACAGGATGATGGCGGAAGCAACAGCAGCAACAGCCCCGAAGGGGTAGAACGCATCACACGTTCGCAATACGCATAGTACTTGACGCCATGTCTAAACACAAACAAGGCGTTGAAAGCACGTCTGCCTCCACAAGCACTTGCCTATGTCTCCACAAGCCAATTTCTTGGAAGCTGGTGGCACGACTGCCACACCCAACTCCGTCAAGGCGGATAAATGCCTGTCGCCACACAGAAAATGGAGAAACGAATTTGAGGACAATGCCTGCATCGAGTTAGAGGAGGCATGGGACGGAACGGATCGACAGAAGAGACATTCTCCGGGAGGACCACACACCGGCAGAGACTGGAAGTACGAAACGTACCTTGAAGTAGAACCGAAACTTGAAGGTTCAGTTTCTGGGTACAAAACAGGGTCCGAAGCGCAGAGGAACGTAGGAGCCGAACGACAGCTCTTGTCAGCGTCTATGTATTCGTAGGAAAGCATTTTAATTTTTCTGCAGCTGTCTCTAGTTGAATCTACGTAGGTCGCCACCAATGCACGATAAATAACTAGAAACAACGAACCCCTTTCGCCTGCGCCACGCACCGGTTCGTCATGGGGTGTTCCCACATGTGCGTGTTCATGGCAGGGGCAACCACGAAACTCTTCTTCGACTTAAAATCCCACGCCCGAGCCACGCAGGTCTGACCGCAAGAAAACGGACGACGAACGGAGGGTCTGAATCGCCGATGATGTGTAGTTGATGTGGTTCTCGAGTGCTTGGCGACGGATCGGGTGGAAAATGCCCCAGTTGCTGCGAAAGACAGTGATCTTGATAATCCCACCACGTTGTCCTCGAGTGTCGCCCCCTCATCCAGAGAACCGTTCCGTTCCTCGCCTCTAACAGTAGTGTTCTTTCGAGACATCCTTGCTTCCGAAGCCCCCAAATTTTACTCGTACTGAACAGCAGCTGCGGCAGGGGATGCGTATTCTACGCTGGCGACGGAACAAATTGTCACCGTAGAACACGAACACAACTCGGGCGTGCGCCAATCCCCTCGTTGTGCACAGTATGTCCTCACCACAAGGTTATCGCACAAGCCGTTGGCCAGCTTGGCCAGCGTGTTGGCGGATAGCGGCGCCACGAGCAACATGTCGGCCCAATCTCGCAGCTTGTTGAGGCACGCGCCATCGAAAGCCGTGAGCACGGACCCGTGGGGGCAACCACGCAACATTCGGACAGACAACACGAGTCAGCAGGGAGCCCTTTGTTGGTAACAACGGGCCGCAAAATTACAGCCAGCGGCGTCAAGCACAGCACGACCCACCCCCAAGAGGGAGAGAGTAAAAAAAACTCAATAGTTGTACCGCAAGACATTGACGTTTTTCCTGAGGTTCTCACCAACCAATCTTAACATACTCCTCCCTCCCACCCACGTATCGAGCCAAACCTGTATGTGCAATACGGGGTCCCCGACGGCATCCCAGGCCCCCCATTCGTCCGCATCTCCAAGGACCGGGATGGGAGGGTCGAGCGCGCTGAATGCTGCGTGGGCGTCGCTGTTGTAGGCCTCGCTCCTGTCCATGAAGTGTTTGCTCGCTTCCGTCACCACTATCTTAACCTTCGAGCGAGAGGTTCGAAAGGCGTATGAAGAGCGCTACGTCATCTCTGGAGCGGGGTCGATACAGTAGTAGATGTAGTCCTTTTGTAGACAACAGAAGCGCCAAGAAAATCTACACGGACCTTGCTCGCCTTCGCATCTTGCGTTTCTCGACACCGACATGTTGGTCTGGTTCGTTTGATCTAGCGTGCCCGGCGTAGACGTGTTAATATAATTTTCGGATGGGCACTCCCACCCAAGCTCCCTCGACCCAGCTGTATTGTTTTGGATTGTTTTGGCCGTTTTAGTTTTCAGTTGCCGCTGCTGCCTATATCATTTATACCGCGGCTCTTGGCACGTCAGTTACCCATGAAAATTCACGTGCAGGGGCACCGTTTCCCCCGATCCGTGAAACGACAGGTGTGTCTCCACTGTGCGTGTTGTTGCTATTGTAGTGCCTTTGAAGACTTCACCTACATCGCGTACCACCGGCCAACCCGCAATGGCGACACGACACCATTGAAGCATCCGCCCCAAGCCATAACAGACACGCGAAGGCCAGATCGGGTCTGAGTCACCCAGCTCTATTTGTACGGAGAGCGCGTCGTGCCATGAGTCAAGACTAATTTGAATGTGTGCACCGACCCGACATCCGTTTTTACCAACCCCCCCTGCCGAGAAACACACGGGCTCAAACAACCATGGAGCGGCAGTGGCGCCAAGGGCCGGTATCACACACATCACTACTACAGGAGTGCAGAAGAGACTATCACGTAGCCCTCAGAATGCGGACGACCTCCAAGGCTGCGTGTTCCCGTCGGCTTGCTAAATAGTGTCGATCTATGCTTTGCGTCCGAAGCACCGGTGGTCTCGCCTTCAGCCGCTTGATATTGGGGTTTGGGAGTAAGCGACTCTGACCGTCTTGCACGTTTATTGGCACCGATGAAGCACACACGTTTTATGCGTGTCTGATCCCCCTGCCACAAACCTCGATCGGGTGGACGTTGACCTCCAGTTTTGTTCTGAAGGTCCGACCTCAATCATTGGTTGTGGAGAAACCGCCCCTCTTGTTCGTGGTTTCAACCGTCGGCGAATTGTTTATTGCTGGAGTCGGCAAGACACAACTGCTGTCTGTTGACGAAGAACATACAACTTTCAACCATATTTGTTTTATATCCGGGCACACCGGGCAGCCTCTGTCTGTGCGTCTGCTGTGCTTGTTCGCCCTCCTTGATGTGTGGTATGCATATGCATACCAATGCGACGATGAGTCAATTCAATGACGTTTTGAGATGCCGTGTCGACCTGTAGGAGATAGATAGGTTCTGTCGACGGGTTGATGTGATCTCTGCGTCCTGACATCAGTTGATCCCTCGTCGAACCTGAACACAGAGAGTTTCGTGCCACAGGAAACACCGCCGTCATCGGTATCTACGGTGATGATGTTCTCCGCGGTACGAAAACGCTCCGCAGCTTCATATTGCTTGCAACACCGTTTGGTACTTTATTTGCATGTTTTTTTGGATCACAGTCGTTTTGCATTTTTTTGGGTTTGGGTACGAATTCGGTGGACACCGTGAGGCTTTGTTTGAGCCTTCGTGGCGGCTGATTACTTCCCAAATGCTTCTTACGCAAGCGCCTCATCGTATTCCAGTGTTCCTTGTTAGCTCTCAGGTTCAATGTGCTGTGTCGTAAACCATGCCAACGCCAGCGATATTTCGCACACCTCTGCAAACTCCGCGAGCATTGCCGCAAGCTGTGGGACCTTGACCACAGCGACGCTCCCACTGACACATAGCAGTATTCTCGGCCTCGTGCGCCCTTCAGCCATGGGAACCACCGACCACGGACCACTACACGCCTGCTGCGCAGAGTGCTGCGCAGCTTGTTGCAGAAGCGGTGGAGCAGTGTCCCCTCTTTCTTCGAGTGCACACGATCTCCGAAATCTCCGACGGGACAAAGGGGCTCCGTGAAGGAGACAGACCGACCAGGAGACAGATGACAGAGCCGAGGCAGAGCAGACGTCTGTCACATCAGCAGTGTCAAAGACTCCAAGTCAGCAGCTGCAGCATGCTTGCCGCACGTGCGACGGGTTCTCACGGCGCCAGACCAGCGGCGGCTCTGGCCGCCGCGGCGAGCCGCGCGTCTTCGCGAGCCTTCAGCGCAAAGCCGCCGGACAAGCCGAAGCCTACTCCGGAGGAGGAGGAGGCGAAAAAGGTCGCACAGATGCGAGCCTTGGACGTAGTGTTAGAGGCCCAGAACAACACGGGTGAGCCACGGCTGATAGCGGAGCGACACGTCTATGATTATTGAGTTCCTGTTTTTGATCACGGGTATGTAGTACGAGGAGACGAGGAGCAACATGCAAGTAGATGACAGTCAAGCAAGCGGCGTATGTTCCTGAGAGTCCCATCTCTGCGGATTCTTCTTGCACTGCTGTGATGTTGGCCGAGTTGACGTAGCGCTTGCCCCGTCAAGCGGCGTTAGCTGGAGCTGGTAATTGGGGTAGCTGTACCTGGCCGGCAGTTGCACCATGCTTTTTGCGCCAGAAGCGGATAGTACAGCAGTAGTAGAAAGACATGCTTTTCGCTCCTGCGGGTGTGACGTATTTTGGTTGCCGGGCCCCCCTGTATGTTGCGTTGACAGAAGGAGAGAAGAGAGAATAGAGGTGCTGTAACCGCGTGACCGTTGTGTGCTGCTGAGTACACAACTCGCTCGCCACCGATATGCTTCTAGCTAGACACGGTCCTTTCACGAAGTCAAGATTCACCGAGAATGGCTTTTCTGTGTGTCTGCATTTTTAAGGGTGTCTCGACCGCCCCCCAACACACTGATACTGCTGTAAACAGATGTTTACCTCTCTCTTGTCACGACTCGATCGACAATACTCAGCCCTCCCGCGCGCATTCGCGGTGAGGGGGGTATCATCTCGAACAGTTACTCCTTCGTGTATGTTATGTTATGTACAACGCATATTTACATTTCCGAGAAATCACAGGGAATGCCGTTTTCAACATGACGCGAATCATCACTTAAAATCGCTGTCGCCTCCCATCTATTGACTTAGGACTTAGGAGCACCCACACCCCCTCGCTGTTTGTCGTAAACGCGGCTGTAAGTCCCGTAAGGAGACCAGCTATGCCATAGCAGATGGCCGCGCATCGTGCACCTAGGCCTTTCCTTCGCATACCACCCGACCATCACTTGCTCTCCTCGAGACTTGGTCTTCCTGTGTGTTGAGCTATAGCAGTGGGGGGGCTCTGTAAGACAGTGGTGGTGCAGCTGAAAAGGAACGCCTTCTATCGGGCAACCCCCTGATTCGATTCAGACCACTTTCTAGCGGGCCCCCAGCTGTCGTAGAAGAGCGTACTTTTCTTTGAACCAGCACAGGGAAGAAGTGGTACTGGATGGAGGTCCTATTGGTTTTTGTTGTTGGGACAACAGCAACAACAACCACAACGACAACGTCACCATCACCATAACACAATATGGGACGCCCCCCTCGCCGTCACGTTTATTTCGCGACGGCAGTGTCGCCGCCGATGTACTCGACGCGCGACGAGCCTTTCCCGGAAAACCCCGAGGAGGCGTTAGCCCTGGACCCGTTGCCCCCCACGGTGGCCGGGCGCAAGGTGATCATCGCGCAGAAGAGCAAGCCTGCCACCACCACGGGAACCGCGGGCGGCCTTTACGGCTGGAACCTCACCTTCAAGCAGAAGGTCGGTGCCTGATTTCGTTTTTTTTGTTGACGAGCTTGGTCACGGAGGGGAGCGTGACAGCGTTGGTAGCGGGTACCAAGGGGGTAAGTATCACCACCAGAAAAAAATATCTAGTTCTGAGAACGTTTGTTTGCGAATGGTACCACACGCGGTGGGATGATTTTCAAAGCTCGATTCCTCTGCAGCACGCACAGTGACGATGCTGCCGAACATGGCGGCGTTGGAATCGTCTCGCGGAGAGCTTTCCGGAATCTCGCTTGGTGTTGACGTCCTCATCTTGGTGGAGAATGGTAGCTTTGATGATCGGTCTAGGGGGTGGGGGGTGAGTGGTATCTTGTGCAACCTACGGTGGACGGGGCGCTTTGTTTTGGGCCAGCCCGCTCCTGGTGTACAGGTGTAATGGTAGTGTGTGCATCTCTGTGGCGGAAAGTGGATGGTGTGCTCTTGCGTAGTGATACATGCGTCGCTTTTTGTTATCTGAAGTATTGAAGTGACCACGCAGTATTGAATTGAACCTCGCCTTGCCGTCGTTGACTGTTCACCCCAAACCAGGAGCGCTGGTCTAACCCCCTGATGGGATGGACCAGCACCGGCGATCCGATGTCGAACATGCAGCTCAGCTTCAGCACGCCGGAGCAGGCGGTTAAGTTCTGCCAGAAGAGGGGCTGGAAGTACGAGGTGACAAAGAAAAACTCTCCCTACGTATTTCTACGTGTGTGTTGCACGTGATTCTGCGGGCGACGGGTGCGCCGAATGCTCGATCGGTGTTGGAAAGAAATTCGAGTTGTTGGATGTGGCCCCGTCCTTGCATCTGGTAGTAGGCGTTGGTGCATGGGCACCCGCGAAGCTCGACTCACGTGAGACCCAAGCATGCTGCAGCACTATCGGCCCAACGGGCGCGCTCTCTGACCCTTGAGCGAAACCTCAAAACTTGTACAAACCAGGGTTGGCAGGAATTTGTCGGCGTGACAACGTTGTTGGTGCTGGCAGTACTACTAATAGTATTTGTATTTGTGGTTGAGTTCTCTCGTGCTGCTGGGGCCTGTCCGCGCTACGTTGCTAGCGTCCCTCCGTGCTCGGTGTTGTTGTTCTCTGTGTTGTATTTTGTGGCTTGCTGGCGTGTTGACTTTGGCTGTGACCACAGATATGTTTTCGTCTCGAAATGGTCCGACAACGCGCAATGTTTTGGAGCTCTCAGGCGTTTAGACGTCACGGAAGTGGTTCCGAGTGCAAAAATCATGACGACAGCATCAGCAGTGCCAACAACACGTCGTTCAACGTCGATTCCTTCCCCGGTGTGCCTGCCACGCGTACCAGGTGAAGGCACCGGCGAAGCGCGAGGCGGTGTTCGGCAAGTTTGCCTACTCACACAACTTCCTGCCGCACAACGTGGAGCACGACCTCAAGGTCAACGGGACAAAGACACAGTGAGTTTATCTTGGGGAGGCGTGGTTGTTCCCCTCTGCGTGGCCTCCAGCTGCTGTATTGCTGTTGTTGTGCGGAGCGGCGCTGCTGTGGGTGTTAGTGCTGCTACTAGTGTTGCGTATTGCTGCTACTAGTATTGTGTCTTTTCCCCTGAGTTGTGCACATTTCGTATGAGTCGCTGTTTTTCCCACTCGTTGGTGTCGACTCTCTGCACAGCTTTCGCGGAGTGTCGAATATCCCTGGTCGGATCAGTGTGGAAGACGCAGGTGATGGTTACACTTTGGGAGAACAGCAGCGCCTGGCAGTGTTTTTTTTGTTGGACAGACAAGCTTCCAATTGAGCAAAAACAATTTCACCGTTGATGCCCCCCGAACCTCCCCTCCCCCGAATGAAAATCGGCAGGCAGTTCACGTTCCCGACGGCAGGGGCTAGCCACTACGAACGACCACTCAACTTTGTGGGTACGGCGCCGGTCCGCCAGCACGGCAACCCGGAACAAAAGTAAAACGCAATATCAAATCAATCTCGGGACTACGACTACTGTGGTTCTGTGCGGGGACAGGACGGTAAATTTGGACGAGTCTCGACTCAGAGATCGGTTGCGTGCTGCTACTGGAGGTTTTGGCGGACGGCCAAGGATTCGCCGAGCTGTTGTCCTTTTTGCCAGCAGTTTAGCATGACCAGGACTCCAAGACAAGAGCGGTGTCTCCGTTCTTGGAAAAGTTTTAGCGGGAATGAGACACGGACACCCGCTCGGAAAAGTGATCCGTATCCGGCCGGTCTACTCGTTTAGGGGGTAAAAACTGGTTCATGTTCCAATAGTTCGGTGGTGGGATTTGTTGGGAACGGTGTCCCGTGGAGGAAAAAGAAGCGTGATCTTGTGATTTTGACCGAGGGGGATAGGAGTGTGAACCTTTTTTCTGTTGAAGCAAGACTTTCACCTGACCCTTCTTGACTTGTTGTTCGCATTCTCTAGCCTCCTCGACCCGCTACCCGTGCATCGCAGGTAGCAGCCCTTGAACGGAATTTCACACACAATTGTCCTCAAAGCACGATCGATCCTCAACCCCCCCGCATCAACCCAACATCGAATCGCCGACAACTCTCGCACGGCACGAAAGCAATGGAATAATACACACGACGGAGAGCAACACCCTCTGAGTTAGGGGAAAACTCCGGTTGTGCTGTTTGTTTCGTTGAACACGGGGTGACTTGATTGACCGGTCGGCGTCAAGCGTTCACAACAGGCGACGGGAAGAAACGAGTCACAACTCAGCCGGAAATGTTCAAGCGTAGAGAAAGAGAACAGCTCCACCCTCGGAGCTAAGCGACAAGCTCCGCCCTCGGAGCTAAGCGAAAAGCTCCGCCCTCGCCCCCCACCAGCTTCGTAGGATACCGAAGTCGCCGGAAGCCGGACATACTACTCCGCCGATCAAACCCAGTTATTTGAGGGCAACGCCCAAGCAGGAGTAGTGCCGATGTCGTGTGTAACTAAATCTGCGAGCTGAGCAGCGCGCCCGCGTGCTCCTTGACCGCGGCTCGCAGCACCTCGTGTACCTGTTTTAGACGTTATGGCACACACAATTGTGTGTGAATGGGACAAAGGGTTAACCATGAGGGCAAGATGTTCGCGCGTGCTTACTTGACTCCGTCTTGCGGCTAACCTGACAAGTTTGGGATGACCTGGAGGATGGAAAAATGAAAGCCGGTGATCGAACGCGTCGGAGATCGCTCGAAGCAAGCAACCTCTGGGCTATAACTCAACAACACAGCTGGACCGGGTGACGAATGGCGTGCATATAATTCCTCCGAACTGCGCGAGATTGAGTTGTTGGGGTGTGCCTGCAGTACCTGCTGGCAGGCGTCCGTGGCGGCTCGAAGAACCTCCTCGAATATCTCGAGGGGCAAACGCGACTCCATCTTGGCGAGAAGGAGCTTGTCCTTCTCCGGCAAGACGGCAACCGGGAGGTAGGGGCCGCCGAGAGCTTGCTCCACGTAGTTGAGGTCCTGTAGAAGAGCGTCGAGCTAAGTCAGGAGGTCTGGTGTTCTGGTCGGCTGATTTGGTTGCTGCTGTTGTATGATATATTGCCTTCAAAAAGCATTTCCGATCTCTCCCATTGTTTTTGGGCGTCGGCCCACATGTTGCTGTGTGGCTCCGCGTACGTACGCCCCCGCAGATATATATCTCGGGCGCCTCGAGGTTGCCCACCGGCCCCGACGGTCGTTCTTGGTTAACATCGCCTGTCACGGGAAGCTTGGCAAGCACGTACGTTTCCCAAAGACTCATGGTTCACAGCCACATACACACCCGCCCCCCGAGTGCCGGCAAACTGGTACCGACAATGTATGATACTTAGGCTTGCACACATAGGACAGTTCGTACTGATCACTAGCGACATTCCCTTCCCACGAGCGAACTCCATCAGTAGGGATCTCTGTGTCCTCTGTTTAATACGCTTGGGTGCCTCTTGTTGTGCGGTTTGACTCAATGGGCTATATAGACTCTCCGACACGAGAGGAACGGAAGCACGCACAGAATCTGGTCGCATCGTACCATGACTGGCATGCCGTCGAGGTATCCCGCGGAACAAGCCACTACCAGATCCGACATGGCCACGCCCGCGTCGACAAGGGCCAGCGACGCCGCGTTGATCCCGACGGGCAGCACGCCTCCGTCCGACTGGATCACGTGCAGATAGATGTCGATCTGAGTCCTATTGGGGGGGCAAGGTTAGGGTATGGGAGCAAACGTGTTTGAGCTATGTACGCGACTCATAACTGGCCTTCTGCTACCCATCGGTAGTACGGCCTAAGCCACCTCACGTGTAGACTGGGTTTCGAACCCACGGCCAACTATTGTAGAAGCCGAGTCAAAGCGTTAGACTACTTAGTCAGCGCTGACTAGTCTAAAGTTTAATTTCGGCTCCTATTCTGTGGGCCGTGTAGAGCCACCGCGTTCGATTCTGTCACGACCCAGCATACAGCAGTACGGCGGCCTAGAGGATAGGGGTTAGCGTTGGAGCGTATCGTGGTTCATGGCGAGGTGATGACGAGTCCGGAACCGATCGGATTGTGCACCTAGTTGTGTCCACATGAATGGTCGTGATGAGCCTGGGAGGATTGGGTAGAGGCTAGGAAGAGCAGAGAGGCTTCTACTATAAGGAGTACCGCTTCGCACGTACGACTAACGCCTGGACAGAATCTCGATCGTTGTTGCGCGGGAACCGTAGACCGGTACTATATATCAGAAATTTTGCTTGAGAATTCGTTGGGTCTACCGTGCTGCTCGTCCTCTCGCTCGATCCCTCCCTCCCGTGCCATGCGTTGTTTTGATTGTGCCGAGTGGTGCTGCCTGCACATTTGCACGCATGCATGTTCCCCGGAATCTCTTTGCACGATACCTGGGGTACAGGTGCAGCATGATGGCCCCCTCGAACACTTCCTTGACGGCTAGCGCTATCTCCATGCCTTTCCGCTCCGTCTGGAGCAAGCGATTCGACATGGTGGTACCAGTCATGTCGTCGATAGTCACGCGCGAGAGAGGCGGCCAATTCCGGTGAATACCAGAGGGGGGTAGACGTGACAGACGGCCAAGACGCGCACAACACACAGGGAAGAACACCATGACCTCGTTCATTTCTCACAGAAGACAGACTCATCGCTATCCTATAGAAAATTCCAGGATAATTCCAAGCGATTTCTTCGTAGTGTTTCATGTCCTGGCCTACTTCTCGTTCGCACAGCGGGGCGCGGCCGCTCCTACACCCAAGTGGTACAAGAAGCGCGACACCAGTGTATGTTCCCTCCATCTTTTCTTGGTAGGCTCCCAACCGCCGGCAATGTGTGTATGTGTTTGTCCATCTACCTGGACGTCAGTGAATACGCCTTTCGATACATTTTCTGGACGCATTTAGCCGGGGTCGCACAGGAAGAATGCAACTGGGACGGACCACCTTACTTACCTCTACCGTGCTAACCTTCGACATTTTCTGAGCAGAGACCGGCACGGCTTCAAACGTCAAGACAGCAACACCACCACCCCAACAACCAGATCATGAGTGACGGCGTGTTCCGTGCCTGCTTGCTCTTACCGGACGCCGCTTTTTCCGCTCGCTGCCGCTGAAGGGGGCCACGTTGTACTCGCAGTTCACGATCCCCGTGTCATACTTGCGGTCTTGTCTGGGGGGGGGGGGGGGGGGTTGGAGCCGGGATCGAGGGCAATCACAAAAAGGCGAAATCGGCGGTTGCAATTTGGATGATAGCGGATGGGTGTCAAGGGTGGTCTATTTGGTATGAAGAACGTACATCAAAACAAAGACGTACACTACTGCGCTTCAATACTCGGAGGGCTGCTTCCATGAAGTTGGGACGGCAGATCGGTGGGACTGGGCTGACGGGAGGGGGGGGAGACGGGGTCCTGTTTACGAACCACGCGAGCGAGCAAGGCCGCGAAACTTCGGTATTGGGGGGCACCGCATTTCTTCCGTTCTAAATGAAGCGAGGGGGCGGAGGCGGGGCGTATGGCCGCAAGCTCGCACCGGGGGGTAGGGGAGGTAGGGGTATCCGCAAACCCCAATGTATGTAAAGTTCATAGCACGTTACAGCCTTGTGGTACGGCGGACGCAGCAGTGCCGCAATGGCCCAAATGCGGCACAGCAGTCGACCAAGTCGACAGCAAACAACAGCAGTACGACAACAAGGGAAAGAGAGAGAAAGTGCGGCCTCGTGCAAAAGCAGGACGGTGTTGGCACCTCTTCCAGTCCACGCCTTGCGTTTCCAACTAGCCATATGGTGTGGTCTTCCCCTTTTCATCATGCTTCGCACCTTCGGGTCACTTCTCGAGGCCCCTTGACGATAGCGATGATCTTCGTCTGGCCCATCTCCAGATACGCCGACCCATCCGCACCCTGATGTATGGCATGCATGTAGGTTTGAAAACAGGTGTGCAACGAGCCGTCGTTCAGTCATTCACACCGAAGAAGCCCGGTCGATCGCGCACGCACGCGTTGCAGTCGGACAGGTCAGCGAAAGGTCACGACAAGGTCAAAGTATGGCCTCTTCCAAAGATTGCAGCATCCAGGGTAAAGCCGGCGCCTTTCTGTGCGCTGCAACCTCCGCTGCAGCACTCTGGGAGACCAGCACCTTGTTGTGGCTCAACAACAAAAAGGCAGCAAACAGCTGGCACCCACGGCAAACAGCAAAACGGTGCTGAGGACGGGATGTTGCAGCAGCTGCTGTACAAGCGCGCGGCTAGTCTGCGGGGGAAGGTAGAGGTAGGCCGGTCCACGAGATAAATCGCACCGCAGAAGATGCTAACCTTGAACACGCCGAAGCGAGATCGTACGCGGCGAATCTCGCGGCCTCTGCGCCCGTCGGGTCTAAGCCCTGCTAGGCTGATGAAGTCTGCCCTATTGTCCATGGTGCTTGTCGGGGGGGAGGGAAGGGGCAGAGGACGCCAAAATGATGGGCACCGGCAACGCTGTTTCGTGAGGGTTTCAATAAACGGTTCACGAGGCGGTGCACATCTGGTCGCCCCGCTCTACACCTCTCGTCTCCTCTCTGTCTACTCACAAGTACAGGAGGGAAGCGAGAGACGGAGAGAGAGAGAGAGCTTGAATTCAGGGAAGAAGTTTTTTCCTAACCGAAGGCTATGGCTGGTGAGTACATGCGATCGCGCGTGATGCCCATATGGCCTTGTCACCTCCTGGGACGATTGCTGAAAACCTGACAGTCCCGTGACCCAACACGTCGCATATGCGGTTGACGTTCGCCGTTCGACACACACCGGCCTTCAGAGAGACAAGCCCCAATGCTTTCCCAGGGTCTAACTCTCCCAGCTACCCTACTGCTGTGCCGTACATTGTATTGCTGTGTAGCTCTCGTGTGTACGCAGGCATTGCTTTTGCCACCGTGCCGCCAGCTCGCGTTGCCGTTGTTGCTGTTGCTGTTGGCCCACAGCTGTCTGACGACTCGCTACTCCCTCGAGACAGGAGACGGCATCTCTCAACTCTCAACGAAACAGAACGTGCTTGATGCCACGTGTAGATTTTCCTAGAGGGATTCTTGACCGGACATGGCCTTCTTGTTCGTTTTGCATCATGGGCTCCTAGAAAGCATGAGAATATACGAAACTCCCGTTCGAGAAGGCGGTATCTGCATGACTTACATCCATTTCGATCACAAGAATGTGCTGGTGATTTTCCCTGTCCGCGGGGCGGCAGTTTCCGGCCCGGTCGTCAGCAGTTTAGAGCATTAGCGTTCGCCTCTGGTCTAGGCGAAGGCACTGCTGTGTGTGAGAGAGAAGCTCTCGGTGCGCTGATTGGACCTTCGCGCGTGCAGCAAGCCGCGTCTTCTTCAACAACAGCGGCTGAACACACATACATGCCCCGGCAACAAGGCAACAGCTAAAACGTGAGATAATGTCTGTTCCCCGAGGAGCGGTGGAACTTGGACAGCAGTCACCCTTACACACACACACACACCCTCGCCTTCACCCCCCGTGTTTCGTCTTTCTCTCAGCGTTATTTCGAGCAGCAACATGGGTGCTCCCTCTGGTGCTAGCAGACGTAGCGGCGGCAGCAGCAGCTGCTCCCACCGGGCCCTCCGTTGAGACCTCCCGCCTCTTCGAAGCGGAAACCCACCACCGCCACCACCGACGACAGCGACCATCACCAACGTCGCCAAGCGGGGGCGGCCGAACTTTCTCTCCGGCCAATGGCGGCGGCAATGGCAATGGCATAGCATCCTCCCGCAACAAGCACGAGGTATCCATCCGGCGAAGATCCAACGGCCAGCAGAGAAGATCCAGCGGCTGGTTGGGTTGGGCACCCGACGCGAGACAGCACGCGAGAAAACCCCGCCTTTCTGGAGATTTACCGGCCGGGTTCATCGCGAGCCCGGCGGCTGCGCTCGGACAGCAGAGACGAGGGACGCGCACTTGCGGCGGCAGCAGCAGCGGCGGTGACTCTCCGTTGAGAAGTTTTGGAGGAGGCAGAGAGGCGGGGGTACGGCGGGACGGGTGGGTCAGGACGAAACAGCCGGGGCGGCAGCAGCGGCAGCCTGTACCGTGGGGGGGAGGGCGCAGGGGCGGGGGCGGGAGGCCGTCGTCTGATGTGGTGGTTCTTGGTGGCGGTACGGGGGACACGGAGTACTACTCCTGGTGAGGCATCTTAATATTTTGAATTCTCACGTGTTCTTGGCTGCATCGCGGGAAAGGAAGCCGCTGTCGTTACCCACGACCAACTACAGGTGTTAATATAGTCTAACTCGTGATACCGTTATCGCAGAAAGATGTCGGAACTCCTCGTCTGGATGTGTTGTCGTTAACAGCTTAGTGGAGCTGGGTTGGCTTCTAATATTATTTGTTTAGGACCCGGACACACGGTGCACACACAGCACAGAGTGTGGCCCCCCCGGGACACAGGAAAATTGCGGCGTAGATGCGAGGGTATGTGGGTGGCGTTCTACTCTCTCGTGTGTTAGGCAGTATGCATGTATGTATGTAAATTTACGAGTTGCTGGAAGGATCGATGGTTGTCAGGACCATCCCGCCGCTGTTGTGGGTTAAGAGTGATCGCTTAACCCGCCGTCGGCAGCAACAATAAGTCAACAACAGAATCAACAGCCACAACAACAGCATCGTCATGAGAATAACCACCACCACCACCACCACAACGTAAACAGGACGGAGACGGACAGCGACATGGAGGTCCGCGTACCCCTTCCACCTGGAACGGCTGCGAAGAGCGTGCAGCTCAGTGTTACCAAAACTTCACTCACGCTTGGCCTTAAGGGGCGGGAAGGGCCGGTCTTGAAGGTGACGAGAACTCTGGTTGCTCCGTTGTGGTTGTAGTCTTCGTCGTTGCTGCCGTTGTCGTTGGGTGCAGTTGTCGTAGCTGTTGTTGTTTCTGGTGCAGCTTTTTCTGCTACTGCTGCTGTTCATGCTGTCGATGTTGCGGGTTGTGTGATGTTGTTTGTTCCGCTCTTTTTTTTTTCTTGGTTCCAGAGGTGATGCTATTGCTGTATGGTGTGAAGCTGCTGTTCCTACGGTACTTGGACAGTTGGGTGACACAGCTCCGCCTGGGCATGCTGCAACGTGGAACGCGTCCTGGTTGGCCGTTTTTCCTCACACTCGTCATGCATCCCCCACATGTACGCTCCTGCCTCTGCCGCCCGCGCTCCATATCTTGACTGCTGCTCCTCCTGCTTTTACTGCTGTGTGCTACGATGACCATTGCCACCATCGCCACGACCAGGGTAGCCTGAAAGGGCAAGTCCATGCGGACGAGAGCCACTGGACCATGGGTAAGCATTAGCACTCCCCTCCTCCCAACCGTGGCGTTGTAGCCGAACCATCGATGTTTCCAGATGGTCTTGCGCGAGAGTACTTACTCGCGAACGCTTGTTCGGTGTCTTTTTTTCCTATCATTACCCCCGTTGTTGTGTTCTTTTTCTCTCTTGAGATATGGGTACGTTACTTGGGCGTCCAGCACAGCGGAGCCCACAGCCCTAGGTAGAGGCCCCGCGGCTGGGTTACCCCCTCCCCCACCTATGTCGCCGCATGAAACGCTCCGCTTTTGAATGGCTTTCGAGGCTGGAGTCGAGAATCGTTTAAGCATGCGTCTGTTTCTTTTCGGCGATTACTGCTGTCTGTTTTGTATCATATTGAGAATTGCCCTGTTTTCTCTCCGTTGTTTCCTTCCTTTTGCTTCATTTCTGGATCGAACTGCCGACGAGTCTGCTGATGTTTGGTTGCGATCGCAGTTCGAATCATGCCGCACTACTGTAGCGTGGAAATGAGAGAACTATCCTCTATAAACCTTGGCGAGAGGAGACACCTTTTTTTCTGGTCGCCTGTACATGGCAACTTGGTGCTGACGTTTTCTTTTTTTTCATAGGGGTCTTTTTTTCTTCCTCCTCATCCACTCTCTTTTGTCGCCGCCGTCGCCATCGTTACCGTTGCTGTTGATGTCTCTGATGGTGTTGCTTTCCAATGATTCTTTTCATGGGTGTCTTTATTTGCTCCCTCTGTCACCGTTTACTGCGGCCACCGCATTATCTTCGATGCATCTTGTCGACGTTGTTGTTATTGTAGAGGAGATGGAGGACACCGGGGAGAAGGTGCTGTACCTGTGCCTCGAGAAGGTGGCGGACATGGAAGCCCTTGCGGCGAACAGCATGCCGCAAGACTGGGTGGGGGTGCTCGAGGGGGAAGAGCCCCTCAACGTCTACTACCCCGACAAGGATAAGGTGTGTGCGGTGTGTGCGGTCTAGCTCAAGCCCTTGTGACCGGTGTGGTGTGATTTCGTGTGTCCTCCCGTTGAGTATGGAGTCGTGAAACCTTGTTTACATTTATTTGTTGAAAATGTAAGTAATCTCACAGAATTTTCATGTTGATGGGCGTGTAGGTCCAGGTCAATGGCCGTTGGGCTCGGTGTCATTTTTTTGTTGACTGTGTATGTCACTGGACCATAGGGTGCGGCGTCATCATTTTGTTGATGGGCGTATACACATTTACAAATGTCGGGTCACTAGGTGTGGCTCGGGGTCAACTATATGGCAGAAAGCTCTCGGAATTTGCGCCGGGTTTTCTGTACGACGTGTGCGGGAAGGAATCACGGTGTGCTTTTTGAAACCTCCATGTTTACTCTGCACTCCATGCCCAAACTTGCATTTCTTGCGTCCGTGGACACTGTTTTTTTGTCCGAGTTCGGTGGTACTTTGCGAGAAAAACGATCCCGAGACGTTTGCTTCTTGTGATATGTACCTTTGTTGGAAGTACCTGGTACAGCTTTCGTTTCTTGAATTCGAGCAATCGTTTCCTTTCTCTTTTTCCGGTTTGATGTCGAAACCGTTTCTTCCTTTGTAAGACGAACCCGCTTTTTTGTTTTGTTGATTTCGAGCAGGACTTCGACGTTGGCGAGTACGTGAAGAGGATGGGGTACGATCGAGAGAGAGACATCGGCAAGGTGAATGGCTGACGTCATCATGACGTCATCATGTTCATGATCGTGATGGAAACTGACGTCATCATCATGATGGGAAACTGATGTGGCCATGATCATGGCGGAAATAGACGTGATGATGATCATGATGGAATCGCCAGCCGATCATCTCTCCCCGACAACGAAGCTATGATACGCACCGCTATGTTTGTTTTTTTTCTTCGCGACGACGACATGCAAAGCGCCGGCCTGCGCATACCACCCACACCTGCTCGTACGCTTCTGTCGATGCAGCGAAGTGGGTCGCCATCGGCCCATCAGTGCCGTGCTCTCTCTAAACTGTTCAACTATTTAACGTAACTGCTGCCCCCCTTGTGGCGGTACCTGTTTTGTAGTGCCGCTTGCTGCTGTTGGCATGAACCCGCCGTTCTTGTCGCTGGCTAGCCTTCGGCGGGTGTTGTTGAGCCGAACCCATGGTAAATTTAGGTATTAATGGTTGTTGTTCCTCCTCTCTCAGGTAGCAGGTACCCCCCCCCTCCTCCCCACCTATCGCGGACGGATGCCCGTCCCTGCTCGACATCCTCGCTAGCTCACCACTATTTTTTTTTTTTTTCTGCAGGTTGATAAGGCCATGTTCTCGGACCTGACGGCCGAGATGAAGGAGAATCTCCAGACGACGCTGCCGAAGTCTTCCTTCACCGATAAGGACGACATGATCCCGGTCATGGCAGACCCCAAGGTAATTGTTCCCCCCCCCCCGTGTGTTGTAGGCAGTTAGCCAGGCAAAATGGTAATTGTACGACACCGCACGTTTTTTGTTAACGGAATCCCTGCCTGTGTGCGCGGTCTTTCAAACGTTTGGGCGTGAATACTGACCGACCAGAGCGGAGTCGGGTGGCGAGTGGACTGTCCGATTTCTCCCCAACCTCCCCACACTCCTCGGCTTCATGACACGTCACGACCCCCCCGTATCTCCGACATTTTTTGTGATCTACGCTATCTACGAAAACAGGTTTCCCCGGTGATCGACACCGGCGTCCTGGGGTTGCCCACGCCCCCTCCCCGCGAACCCGAGGCAGTGCCCGACGAGACGGTAAACGTTAACGCCGACGGGACTGTCAGCAACGGCGGCGGCGGGGCTGCTGCCATCGACGCGGAGGTGGTGAGGGAAGGGTCTTGGGAGGCGGGTTTCGCTCCGGACTTGGGGGGTGCCGCTGCCGGGGGTGGGCCCGATGATTCTGCGTACTCTCCCGCCGGGTTTAGGGCTGACGCGGACTTCAACGTCCCGATGAAGGACGGGGAGGCGGGCGAATTGACGGTGAGGGGTTTCCGCGAGGTTGTGCTGCGGAAAGGGGTCCCGTGTCCCGCGGGAGTCGAAGCTTTCACGCCGCTACACACCACTTTATGCACGCGTTTTTGAACCAACTGATACATTTCGGTGAATCTATGAACCTGATGTGTGCAGTAAAACAAAAAACCCAATTCAAATCACATCAAACCTTAGTATCCGTTTCAATCGTCAAGCAATGATCCGATAGACCGACCAACCCACAAACTCACACCGTTTTTTTTTTTTCCTTTCCTCCTGTGGGATCGAAACAGGCCTGTGCGTCAAACATATCACCCGCAACATGAAGGCATATTTTTTTTTCATCGTCCAGTTTATTCCGGACGCCGATCTTTTTCACCATTCGATATCACTTGTAGACGCTGGGGTTACACAGGAGGAGAGGAAGCCACAGTTTTTTTCCCACCTCCCTTCTGCGGTATTCTATCGCCTAACACAGATGGTGACACTAAACAGAGATCCACTATGCAATCGAACGCGGTCAATGTTTGCTTCATTGCCATATATTAAATTTTCCAGGAGAGGCAACGTGAGGTGGCAGCGGGTCTGAGAAGGACCTACGAGAAACTGGTCAAGACGGGTATGGTGCAAGAGACCAACCCGGACGGAACCCCCGCCAAGATGCCCGACATGGAAGAGGTGCGTTATTTTCCTTTACTTTGCGTCATCGACCGCGCAAAATATGGCCTTGCCGTCTCTGGTTGATCCCCCGACAAGACAGGTGTTTAGCAGCCGGGTTCAAACCTTTCGACCGGTCAGCGCTGATTGGTCTTCTGATTGGTTTGGTGATCGGTTTGCTAAAAGATGCCAGTTCTATGTGGTACTGAGTGGGAAATTAATCTTACTCCGCTTCAAATCCAACCCAATACGCTTCTTCTCAGATGGCGAGGGCGTACGAAACGGAGGGCTTCATGTTCAAGGAAGGCGATTTCTCCGAGGAAGAACTGAGCAAGTACATGGACATGGACATGGGCATGGGCATGGGCATGGCAGGCTTGGCTCTGGACGATGACTTGCCTGGCGGGGACATCGACCTCGACGACCCGGCCACACGATCGGCGTTCGGCCTTGATTAGGCTCTCACTGGCTGGCTGGCGTTGATGGGGTGTGATTAGGCTTGCTGGCTCGCGTTGATTGGTTCAATGATGTGACGTTCGCGCGGCGTTGGTTAGATTGGCTGGCTGACGCTGATTGGTTGAGCGCGGCGGGGAAGCTTGGTTGTCCTGATGTAGTAAGCATAGCGATTGGATGTAGTGGTGATCGCAGGATGCCATGCTGAGGTTGAGAAGATAACGAGGCAGGTGCCTGGACGTCATTTCCAGCATTCGTGCGGAGTTGAACAGACAGATGGACAAGGGCAAGAGATGCAATTCTGCTGTGTGCGTACTTTTTCCCGGCATGGAGGAGAGCCACATGATGAGCGGGGGTGGGGGATAGGAGGCGATCTATTCGAGCTTTTTTATCGACAAAGAAAGATCTTTGCAGGCCAAGCTGCAAAAAAATATTGGTCTTGTGGATTTTTGTTGGTTGAAAGTCCGCATGCGGCGTGCATGTGTAAGCATGTCAGTGCACGATGTGTGCGTATGTATGTGTGCCGCATGTGAATAATATGTGCGCGCCGACCTCCCACCCTCATTCGTTTGCCGCATGCCTTGAGACCATGGGTTGCTATGCACTCGTCCACCGGTGGACTGGAACGCTGGCATTCGTCTTTATGTAGCACATGTTATCCATTTCCGATGCACGTCGCTTGTTCTGTGACCGTGTCAGGCATTCTTGACGGTATCGGATTCGCAAGCACCGTCTGGTCGTAGCCGTGCGGTATCTAGGCGTTGGTACTACGTCAATCGTTAGGTACTCTACACAATGACAAGAGGGATCTGATCTCGTCTCTCCTCCGCAAGTCAGTTGCCCGTTCGTCGTCACATCCAGCCCCGTTGTTTTAACTTCTAGCCAAACCGTCGCTGCTCGCTCTTGCTTGTCGCAAGCGGCTGACGACGGCGACGCCGCCGCCCGGGACACTCAAACATCAATCAACCGTCTTCTTTTTTGTACCTTACGACCGGTGATATGATCGGGTCCATCCGAAACAAAACACGCCACACACAATTCAGTTGACTCCCCATCCCCCAACGATTGGTTCGGCGTTCACACCCGTACTTTTCAGTATAAAGATACACGCCTCATTGCTCTTACGAACACGACACCGATAGAACAACAACAGAAGAACCCGCAGGTGATAAGTGATCTTTGTGAATTAAGACACGACATTTCATTCATTCGCGTTTTGTTTGTTTTTTCATATGCATACGTAGATAATAAACTCCCCCCGCATATTCGATACCGACACTGCTGTGGAATGTGGTACAGCCGCGTGTACCAAACCAAGCCGTGCGCGCATCTCTTGCCATCATACATGTAAAAGGAACCAACCGATGCCACCCAGAAGACATGGTGCCCCCCCCCCCCCCCCC